CTTACTCAAGGCTTGCCCCTTGCACACAGTTCCCAGGGGCTGTCTAGGAGGTTGTCAGGAGAAAGGACAGTAGTTTGAAGGTATGGCTCCGAGTAAGGAGTCCTCACAGAGTAATTCACAGCTGGGAAAAACAAAACAGAAAGACCCCTCTTGCCGTTCCCAGCCACACCGCCTTAAGGACCATGCAAGGACATGAGGGAAGTCTGAGGTGAGCAAAAAGACAGATCCTGAAAGGAGGGTCTTACTGCTTCCTCTGGCCACTGGCGGCTCATGAAGTCAGCTGATGGGGTGCCTCTGTAGGCCTTGCTTCTAGTCCTATGGATGGCTCCGTACAGTTGTGCTGTGTGCTTGGGGCCGATGCTTCTGGGAGCTGATAGCCCCTCACACAGCCAAGCTTGGTTCCCTGTTTTACACAGGTGTGTGGCCACCCTCTCTCTGGTCTGGGGAGGAAGTCAGGACTTCAGGGCCAGCTAGAGACCAACCTGGCAAGTGATGGCACCCCATGTCTCAGCTGGCCACTTGTAGCTTTCCCCAGTGTCCTCCCTGAGTTCCCCGAGGGCTGCGGCCAGGTTCTTTCTCCACGGCTTTTGCCAGTGCCACGATCTCTGTGTCCTCAGTCTTGGCAAGGCCTTCATTTCGGTCTTCTGCCTCTTGTTTGGGAACATACCGCCTACTAACCTGCAAACCCCAAACCGCCCCAAGCACCAGCGCCCAAGTGATAGGCAGCGTGGTGGAGCTGCTGAGACCAGCTGCATGGACTCAGACACCACCACTCCTCAGCTCTGGGACTTTGGATAGTCCTCAGCCTAAGTCACAGCTTCTCCACCTATATAATCAGAAGAGTTAGAGCACATATTTTCAAGGATTATTTTGAGGATTAGTTAGATGCTATGTGCGAAGGCATTAGACACGCATAGCACGTAGGAAGTCCCTGGTAAATGGTAACTCTTGGTTGCCTGTTCTGATACCATGTTGGGGAGATATTGGTCAAAGGGTACAAACTTCCAGTTAGAGTTTAATCAAAGTTCTGGGCATCTAACGTACAGAACGGTGATTATAGTTAAGACTACTATAGTATGTACTTGAAAGTTGCTAAGAGAGTAGATCGTAAATGTTCTCACCACAAAAAAACAAGTGGTAATTATGTGAGGTAAGGAAGGTATTGGCTGACTCCACAGCACTGTGGTAATCATTTTGCAATGTGTCCATGTATGAAATCAACACACTGTACACCTTAAGCTTATATAATGTTGTATGTCAATCTTATCTCAATAAAGCTAGAAAAAATACAATATAAAAAATAAAGCGTCGGCGCTCCTGGCTGGTTCAGTTGGAAGAGCATGTGACTTTTGATCTCAGGGTTGTGAGTTTGAGCCCCACATTGTGGATAGAGATTACTTAAATAAATAAATAAACTTTAAAAAAACTGCTTGTAAAAAAATAAAGCAAGCAGATATCATGTTATATTAGGACAATTAGATATCCATCCACATGCAAAAGAATTTAGACTTCTTCCTCACACCATATACAAAAATTAAAATAGATCAGATACCTAAATATAAGAGCTATATTTTAAAAAAATACATACACAACTCTTGGAAGGAAGCCCATCAGTAAATCTTTATGACCTTGGAATAGGTAATACTTTCTTAGATATGGCACCAAAAGCACAAGCAACCAAAAAAAAAATAAATAAATAAAGGTTAATTGAACTTGATCAGAATTTAAAATTCTGTGCTTCAAAGGAGGACACCATGGAGAAAGTTAAGAAACAACCCAAAGAATGGGGGAAAATATCTGCAAATCATATATTTGATAAGAGACTTGTATCTAGAATTCTTACAACTCTGCAATAAAAAGGGAAATAACCCAATTTTAAAATGGGCAAAGGACTTGTATAGACATTTCTCCAAAGATCTACAAGTAGCCAGTAAGCCCATAAAAAGATGCTTAGTGTCGTGAGTCATCAGGAAAATGGAAATCAAACCCATAATGAAATACTACTTCCATCCACAAGGATGGCTCTAATCAAAAGACAGGTAATAACAAGTGTTGGCAAGAATGTGGGAAAATTGGAGTCTCACACACTGATGGTGAGAGTGTAAAATGCACAGCCATTGTGGAAAACAGCCTGGCAGTTTCTCAAAAGTTATACATAGAGTAACCATATCAGAAATTCCACTCCTGGGTATATAACCAAAAGAAATGAAAACATGTTCACACAGAAACATATGTGAATGTTCACAGCAGCATTATTCCTTTTTTTTAAATTTTTTAATTAAGTAAGCTCTGCGCCCAACTTGGGGCTCGAACTCATGACCCCAAGATCAAGAGTCACATGCTCTACCGACTGAGCCAACCAGGCGCCCCATGGCATTATTTTTTTTTAATTTTTTTATTGTTATGTTAATCACCATATATTACATCATTAGTTTTTGATGTAGTGTTCCATGATTCATTGTTTGTTCATAACACCCAGTGCTCCATGCAGAATGTGCCCTCTTTAATACCCATCACCAGGCTAACCCATCCTCCTACCCTCCTCCCCTCTAGAACCCTCAGTTTGTTTTTGAGTCCATCATCTCTCATGGTTCGTCTCCCCCTCTGACTTACTCCCCTTCATTCTTCCTCTCCTGCTATCTTCTTCTTTTTCTTTTTTGTTTCAGAAGTACAGATCTGTGATTCAACAGTCTTGCACAATTCACAGCGCTCACCGTAGCACATACCCTCCCCAGTGTCTATCACCCAGCCACCCCATCCCTACCACCCCCCACCACTCCAGCAACACTCAGTTTGTTTCCTGAGATTAAGAATTCCTCATATCAGTGAGGTCACATGATACATGTCTTTCTCTGATTGACTTATTTCACTCAGCATAACACCCTCCAGTTCCATCCACGTCGTTGCAAATGGCAAGATCTCATTCCTTTTGATGGCTGCATAATATTCCATTGTGTATATATACCACATCTTCTTTATCCACTCATCTGTCGATGGACATCTTGGCTCTTTCCACAGTTTGGCTATTGTGGACATTGCTGCTATAAACATTGGGGTGCATGTACCCCTTCGGGTCCCTACATTTGTATCTTTGGGGTAAATACCCAGTAGTGCAATTGCTGGATCGAATGGTAGCTCTAATTTCAACTGTTTGAGGAACCTCCATACTGTTTTCCAGAGTGGTTGCACCAGCTTGCATTCCCACCAACAGTGTAGGAGGGTTCCCCTTTCTCCACATCCCCGCCAACATCTGTCGTTCCCTGACTTGTTAATTTTAGCCATTCTGACGGGTGTGAGGTGGTATCTCATTGAGGTTTTGATTTGGATTTCCCTGATGCCGAGTGATGTTGAGCACTTTTTCATGTGCCTGTTGGCCATTTGGATGTCTTCTTTGGAGAAATGTCTGTTCATGTCTTCTGCCCATTTCTTGATTGGATTATTTGTTCTTTGGGTGTTGAGTTTGATAAGTTCTTTATAGATTTTGGATACTAGCCCTTTATCTGATATGTCATTTGCAAATATTTTCTCCCATTCTGTCGGTTGTCTTTTGGTTTTGTGGACTGTTTCTTTTGCTATGCAAAAGCTTTTTATCTTGATGAAATCCCAATAGTTCATTTTTGCCCTGGCTTCCCGTGCCTTTGGCAATGTTTCTAGGAAGAAGTTGCTGCGGCCGAGGTCGAAGAGGTTGCTTCCTGTGTTCTCCTTTAGGATTTTGATGGACTCCTGTCTCACGTTTAGGTCTTTCAACCATTTGGAGTCTGTTTTTGTGTGTGGTGTAAGGAAATGGTCCAGTTTCATTCTTCTGCATGTGGCTGTCCAATTTTCCCAACACCATTTGTTGAAGAGACTGTCTTTTTGCCATTGGACATTCTTTCCTGCTTTGTCAAAAGTAAGTTGACCATAGAGTTGAGGGTCCATTTCTGGGCTCTCGATTCTGTTCCATTGATCTATGTGTCTGTTTTTGTGCCAGTACCATACTGTCTTGATGATGACAGCTTTGTAATAGAGCTGGAAGTCCGGAATTGTGATGCCGCCAGCTTTGCTTTTCTTTTTCAGTATTCCTCTGGCTATTCGGGGTCTCTTCTGGTTCCATACAAATTTTAGGATTATTTGTTCCATTTCTTTGAAAAAAGTGGATGGTATTTTGATGGGGATTGCATTGAATGTGTAGATTGCTCTAGGTAGCATTGACATCTTCACAATGTTGATTCTCCCAATCCATGAGCATGGAACGTTTTTCCATTTCTTTGTGTCTTCTTCAATTTCTTTCATGAGTATTTTATAGTTTTCTGAGTACAGATCCTTTGCCTCTTTGGTTAAATTTATTCCTAGGTATCTTATGGTTTTGGGTGCAATTGTAAATGGGATCGACTCCTTGATTTGTCTCTCTTCTGTCTTGTTGTTGGTGTATAGGAATGCCACTGATTTCTGTGCATTGATTTTATATCCTGCTACTTTACTGAATTCCTGTATGAGTTCTAGCAGTTTTGGGGTGGAGTCTTTTGGGTTTTCCACATACAGTATCATATCATCTGCAAAGAGTGAGAGTTTGACTTCCTCTTTGCCGATTTGGATGCCTTTGAGGCATTATTCTTAATAGCCAAAAAGTGGAAACAACCAAATGTCCAGCAGTGGATGAATGGTTAAAACATGGTATATCCATACAGTGGAGTATTATTCAACCAAAAAAAAAAAAAAAAGGAATACAAAATGGATACATACTACAATATGGATGAACCTTGGAAATATGCCAAGTGAAAGAAGCCACATACTGTATGATTCATTAATACAAAATTTCCAGAATAAGCAAATCCACAGAGACAGAAAGTAGATTAATGATTGTCAGGAGCTGGTGGAGGGGGTAAAGGGGAATGGCAGCTAATGGGTAACGAGGTTTCTTTTTGGGTGATGTTTTGGAATTAGTGGTGATCGGTGCACAATCTTATGAATATACGGGACACCACTGAATTGTACACTTTAAAAGGGTGAACTCTATGATATGTGAATGGTATCTCAAGTTGTGTGCGTTTTGTGCCCTGTTGGTGCCTCGGGCAGAGGGAGTGAGGATTCCTACCATCCCTAACACCTCTTTCCAGCAATGCCGTTGGGGTCAGCATGTGTGACGAAGAAAAACCAAAGAGATTGCATGGGGTGTATGAATATACTACATGGCGATCAACTAGGCATTCCTTCAGCCCTGCTGTCATCCTCTCCATGCCCGGTACCTTGCGGAGGAGAGCATGTGCTGGGGTGAGGCTGGGAGGGGGACTGTATGTGGCCCTCGGTGTATTTTCAGCTGGGGTGCATATCAGAGGGATACTCCGAATATGCTTCTGGTTCTAAAGCCAACTCTGGGCTTTGAAAATCTTTAGAGTACTAGTCTAAAAGAGCATTTCCACCTGAAGAAGAATGTCTGATTTAAAAACATTGTGGGGTGCCTGGGTGGCTCAGTCGGTTAAGCGTCTGCCTTCAGCTCAGGTCATGATCCCAGGGTCCTGGGATCGAGCCCTGCGCTGAGAGCCTGCTTCTCCCTCTCCCTCTGCTGCTCCCTCTGCTTGTGCTCTCTTGCTCTCTCTCTCTCTCAAATACACAAATACAATCTTTTTAAAAAAATAGTAAAAACGTCGAGTAAAGATTAAAGCCCTTGGTAACATTTTGTCAGGGTGCGCTGTCTTTAATCCAGCAGAGGTGTGCATAGTTTCCCTCGTCTTGAGCACCATTGGGAAAGGAATGTGGGTTTTGTTGACTGTCAAGGTTGTATGCCTATTTTACCCTTTTCTTCTCTTTGACATGTCATCTGTCCTTAACCAGCCAAAATGAAGCTCAAGTGTGTTTTTATTTATTGGGATGATAGGTATAGGTTTGTTTTATAAAAAATTCCTAGCACATAGCAGCAGTCTCACAAATAGGTGTTCACTAAGTAATTGGGGGCTGCCTGGAGAGGTGGACAGGTAAGTGGGGATTTGTGCAGTAAGCAGTTGTATTTGCTTGTACGTACTTGTATAGTCCTTGCTTTTTTGCCCTTGACCCGAGGCCCTGGATTGAAGATTTTCCCTCACCTTGTTCCACACAGACCCCACCACCACCACCACCACCACCACCTTTCTGGAGTTTACGATTGCGTATGTTCTGTGGGGGTCCCACCATCCTGTGGACCATAGAGTAAATCCCAGCTCTGTCCGTTTTTCTGCAGGTACCAAAGGCTTAGAATGTTCTCCTTCCACCCCCACCATGAACTCCTACTTTTATAAGTTCATGATCAACCTTCTCAAGAGGTTCAGCAGTGAACGCAAACTCCTGGAGGCCAGAGGCGCTTTCATCATCAGGTCAGGCTCGGCGCACCTTCTCTTCCCCACACAGCCGCACTTTTCCACTTAACACCATGCCAGGGCTCCAAGCAGCCATTTTCTCCTCCCCTTCTCTCCTCTCCTTTTCCTTTGCATTTATTTTTAAAGAAACAAAGGAGCCCCCTGCCCCCTTCACACCAGGCTACTGTTGCTGCCAACCTGAGATAGGTCAATGTCGCCATTTCTCGAACGGACGAATGACTTTTTCACTTGTGTCTCAAGGTTTTCCCTTGAGGTTAAGTGTCCTGTCAGTATGCCCTTGTTGGTGTCTTTGGGGAAGGAAGTAGGTGAGCCAGATGGAACACGAAGCGGGGCTGTGCTCAGGTGCCCAGCCGCCAGCACGGGGTTTGGCCAAGGTTGGTGGCAGCGGTCGCTCTGGCAGAGCTGGGATCTTGAGTCCTGTGAGCCTGGCCTTGGACAGTCCCAGGACCCCAACCCCTCTTGGCCTCTAGAACTCCTGTCACCAACAGCATAGCCAGGTCTGGCCCTTTGCCTCCTCCTCAGCTCCAAGGACCCAGGGTCACCACAAGAGTGACCTTCAAGTCACCGAAATCTAGATGGGGCACAGATTTCTCCAGGCTCCCCCACAAAGCCAGGCAGAGAAGTTTTCTGGAATGGTCTGAGTGGCCTCCAATGCTCTGTGGCAATGGTTCTCAGCCCTGGCTTCCTTTTAGTCACCAAGGGCTTTCACCCTGTCCCATGAAATAAGCACCTCTGGGGTGACAGGGCACAAAAGCTGTCCAGGGTGCTCGGGGAGCTGACTAGACCAGTGTGGTCCGTGGGGTCAGGAAGGCTCTTGAGGCTATCTGCGGGGTCTGGGGGTTGAAGGTGGATTGCTGGCAGAGGGTCCGACCTGTACAGAGTCTGCAAGTCAGCAAAGAGCGTGGCGTGTTCATTTTGCTGTGATCCAGAGGGCAAGGGGGAGAGGGGCCCAGCCTTGCTGGCCACGCCAAGGTTGGAGGCCTCTCCCCGAGGCCAGGAGGAGTCACTGAAGGGGCTTGGGTGGGGGGACAGTATGACCAGATTTGTGTTTTTAAAGATTCCTATGCTGCTGAGGAGAAGGGGTGGGTGGAGAGAGCAAGGTAGATGTGTGGGAGGCCATCTGGGAGGCTCTTGTCCAAGTGGAAGATGGTGGCTGTTTGGGAGGGGGATGGGAGGAAGCAACCAGCATTCCGTAATTCGTAACATGTATCATTGATTAGTGACCAATTACATGAGGGCCTGAGGGGACAGGCTGTCAGGAGTGACACTCAGGACTCTGGATGGTGGTGGCAGTACCTGCAATGGGAGCTCTAGAGGAGAAGCAGGGAGGGAGGAGGGTCCCCTGTTTGAGTTTAAATTGCTTTGGTAACATCAAAGGAGAGATGATGAAGCAGGTTGCTACCCCTGACTCTCAAAAGAGGGACTTATGCCCAGGATAGAAATGTGAAAATGGACAGCATAGTCCTTCATTCATTCACTCATTCATTCAGCAGATGGTTTTACTGAGTACTGACTCTGCCAAGTACTGCTCTGGATGGTTCTGTCCTTATGGAGCTTTCATGCCTAGGGAATAAGAATGGTCAGTGATAAGAGGGGCAGAGGGGGTAGGGAAGGGGCCTGAGGCTGAGCCCCAGGGAGCCCCAGGGTGTAATGGCCGGGGAAGGAAGGAGGAGCCAGGAAAGGAGGCTGAGGAGGACCTGGAGGTGGGAAGAAGCAAAAGCAGGTGGCAGGAGGCAGGGAGGGGAGATGAGTTCCACATGGGTCTGCCAGGAGCCATGCCAGGAGCCTGCCCGGCCACTTCATCCAGAGCTGCCTCCCGGGGCCCTCGCTTCAGGGCTGAGGGTGGAGTTGAGGGCGTGGGGTCAAAGGACTGAGTTGTAGGACTGGCCGGAAGGACAAATAGCAGGCCCACGAAGTTTCTGCGCGTCGGGAGGAATGGGCTTCTGATGGGCCAGACCACCAAAAGGTGTCCCTGTGGTTGTGGGAGGCTGTCGCAGCCCTCCTGCTCTTCTGAGGTCATGGAGAGCAGGGTTTCTCGAGCTCGACACTGTAGGCGTTGGGGCTGGATAGTCCTTGGTGGTCGGGCCCGTCCTGTGTGCTGGGGGATGTGGAGCAGCAGCCCCGCCCTCCCAGCGGGTACTGTCAGAAATGTTTCCAGACAGGGCCACATACCACTGGGAGCAAAATCCTCCCAGGTGGGAGTGCCACAGTTACACAGGGACAGAAATGGATTCTTAGCCTGCTCGGCCAGAAGGGGAAGCCTTCCCGTTTTGCTTCACATCAAGGTGGACAGTCAGTGGGATTGAAGTGGAGAGTAGAGGTGGTACAGGAGACCCCCCTATCAGGAGAGTGACAGTCTTTCCCCACATGAGTGACAGTTTACTTTACATGGTTTTCCACATTGCAGACATGTCAGTTCTCTTGACGAGCCCCCCTTGGCCTGGAAGCCTTTCAGGAACCAGTGGAGAGAGAGGCCTTTGAAGAAGGCATTTGTAACTAGTTTCCCTCCAGAGAACCGGACTGTAATGGGTTTTTCCATCCTCCAGCAGCCTCACATGCCCCATCAGGGGCTTGGGGAGAGGGTGCTCAGAGCCGTCAGCAGCATCCCCAGACTGCACCAAGCAGAAGTGTGGGCAGCGAGGGCATGCGTGGGCGTCCCCCCTCCACTGGCTCAGGGGCCCTGGGCTCCGTGAAGCTGGGGGCCTGGCGGCCACTGCCATATTCCCATTTACAGCCTCCAGGGTGGTGAGGCTTTCCTTGCTTTGCCTAGTGTCTTCCTAGCGGCCTGGGCTGACAGGCATCCTCATTTTGTGGAAGGGAAATGAGAGGAAGCCCTATACCTGCCAGGCTTGATGGGAGCTGAGCTGCAGACCCTTGCACTCTGCTAATTCCGCGCCTGCCACTTCATCCCTTCTGTGGGGGAGTGCAGAGGCCAGGTGCCTTGAGGGGCCCTGCACAGCCTGCGACCCGGGCACTAGCACAGGAACCCAGTGGGCTGGGGTGGTAGCAACCTTGGGGCTGAGCGCCTCACACTTGTTCCCCCCCCGGTCCTTGGCGTCATTTGTCCAGCCTGCCCCCCGCCCCCCCAGAAGCAGCACCAGCACCTGCTTCCTCTGGGCAGCACGGGCTCTGAGCCAGCGTGCCCGGCTGCCACTGACCAGCCCGCGTCACAGTCCCAGCCCGCCAGCCGGCCTAGGCTCTGGGTGCACAAAGCACAGCATCAGACGTGGAGGAGGCCTTGAAAGACGTGTGTTCTCCTCCTCCTTCCTGTGATCAGACAGGGGAGTGAGCCCTTCCTCGAAGTTTGCTGGGGACAAGCCATCGGGAACGTCAGCCTGCCTGTCTGCTTCTCATTTCATTTCCTTACTTTTTGCTGACAGCTTTAAAGAAAAGCATAGTAATGGTCCATGCAGACTGCTGAGATGAAGCCACGGGCCAGATAAGAAGCACAGAGTGATTTAAGCCTCTCCTTCAGGTGTTAAATGAACAAGTGAACAGCCATTGTTTCTACAGTAGTGCGTTTAGCTCAGGGAGCAGAAGGGGTTGCCGTCCAGAGGACAAAAGCAGCCCGAGTTGTTGAAGACAAACATCTGGTGGGCGTCTTGGCATTGAGCAAGATGCATGATTTCCCTCAGGACCCTGGAGTGTTTCCTCTCCCACACGCAGCTTTCCCAGGCTGCCCCTCCATGGGGCAGGGGGGGAGTGGGGACCCCGAGCCTCCCCCTTCAGGCCCCTGGGTGGGTCAGACCTCCTCTGTGCCATGGGACCTTGTTATCTGGTGGACGTAACAGTTTAGCCGTGTGGTGAACTTGGGGGAGCCGGAGGCTCCAGAGCCTCATCTCAGCTGCAGGACCAGAAGCTGAGCCCACATGTGGAGGGAGGGGACGTGGGGTGGGGGTGCCAGAGGGGGCCGGGCATCCCTCAGCCCTGCCCACACCTCTCCCCCTTCCCTGGACTCCACGGGAACGGGGCACATGGGCCTCCCACACGTCCTCGGGACCCAGATTAAGATTGGAACTTCTGGAGTCAAAGAGACTTGGGTTCGAATCCCAGATCCTCCACTTTTGGTCCGCGTGACCTGTTTCTGTAGTACTGCCTGCCACGTCGTTTTGCAGAGAGGGTTACGTAAAACTGCACACCGTCGCTCTCCGCACAGCTTCATAACGGGGAGCTCTTGTTCCGCCTCATGACGTGGCCTCAGCCTCCCATGGTGGTCTGTGAAGACAGGAAACCAGACTCCAGAGAGGCCGAAACAGTTCAACCTTCTATGCCGAGAGCTGGCCCTGGTGTGCCAGGCCTGCAGCCCCAGCACCTCGGGCACCCACCAGCGGCCCGGCCCCAGCCCCGTTCAAACAATTCTGCCCCAAGTAGGTGTTGGTGTACGTTTCCCTCCTCCGGCCTCTTCCCGTTCTCCATGCCAATGCAGCAGAACAAGCGCAGGGCTGTTTTCCCATGAACCGGGCCGCTTATACTCCGTAGAAAGGAAGAGGAGGGAGAAAACGCAGCCTCTTTGATAAACTGATATGAACTGCAGTGTGATCCAACAGCTGGGATCCTTACAAGGCCTGCTTCTGTGCTGGGAAGTGAGCGCGTCTCGGGACACCCCACTCCGCCCGCCAAGATGGCCCTCAGGCCAGCCATCCTTTGGCTTAACCAACTGTGCTTCTACCCCCCTCCTCTTCCTCCCTGCTGCCTTGCAGAGAGGACTTGCCAGAGAATGCTTTCTTTTTAATGAGTGCCTGCTGTGAACTCAAAGGCTCCAACCCCAGCCAGCCCAGCCGATGGTGGAGGAGGTCCTGAGCACCCTTCCCGGGGACACAGGTGCCCCTAAGATGAGAGCGTTTGAAGAGGCCGGGCCAGGGGCCCAAGTGGAAGAGCAGGAGACAGTCCTGCGTCTTCTTCCATGAGACCTGAACCCAGAGAAGCCCCGAGATAAAGCTTCCTGTTCATTTTGGTCCGCCCCTCACCTCTGATACACATGGGCATGGCAACCTCTCCAGTTCAGCAAATTTCACACAGTCCCTACGACTTACCCCTGCTGGTCCTGCCCTTGCCTTACCCCCCCCCCCCCCCCCCCCCCCCCCCCCCGGGTTTGCAAAAGAGCCCTGTGCTTGGGAGGGGAGAGGGGGAGGAGGTTGATTGGCTGCCGAGGTGGGTGGTGGGGCAGGAAAGCCAGGGCCTAGGAAGCCACTGGAAACTGGACTTGTTCTTAATTGCATCACGGGGAGGGCCTCAAGGGAAGCAGTGGTCTTTCACGCGGTAACTGGGAAATTCCACTTTGCTGTCTTCGTATGGTCCACCTGTGAGACAGGCTGTCGTCCGGGGCCACACTGGCTGACCCTCCCCCCCTCCCCCCCCCCCCCCACTCTCCTTCTCACTCTGTGTCCTCCCAGTCCTTCCCAGCCTCCGGAGCTCATCAGCATCAGGTACCCCCCTTACAGTCTTCATAGGCACCACGTGATGTGCCAGGGGGCATTGGCCGGGCCCCCCCAAGCCCATTGTGCTAATGCTAATGCAAGGTGGATGCGAGTAAAGGGGCAAGACCCAGATCCCTGGTTCAAATGGCATTTTAGAATAGCACACTTTGCCTCTGGCCCCCCGCCTGCGGGAAAGAGCTTCTAAGAGGCCCTCCTGGTTTTTACTCTCCCCTTTAATGGGATGCGTTCATTTGCTCCGAATAAAAATAATCTGCCTTGACAAACATGCGCCAGCCGAAGTCTGTCAGCTAGAAGGGACCCAGAATGCAGGTGGGGTTTGACCGTTTGTTCATCTGAAGCCATATTGATTGGGTCCCCAGCTGAGGGGAAGGAGACAGGACCTTGAACAGGGTTGGAGGAATTCTTCCAAGGAATTTTTTACTTCCGTCTCAGAAGCTTCTCTTCTTGCTGACTTGAAGTAAGTCTGCCCAACTCCTGTGTGCATCTTCTGGAGGTTTCCACAGTCATTCTTTCCCCAGAGACCAGGGGGGCTGGGGTGCTTTTGTTGAGATGCAGGACAGCAAAGAGAGTATGTGGCAGAAGCTCTTTTGCATAACCAGCTCTTGGCTTTGATCTAACTGGAAACAACGTGGAGAACGTGACCGGCAGGGAGGCACAATCTGATACGCCAGAGATTGAGAGGAGAAGTCTAGCCCTTAAGGTAAAATACAAAGATGTCCTTGGGGAGGGCAAAATTCAGGCGGCCCAGAGAGCCCAACCTGGTCTGTTTCCACTGTCTCCTAACCCATGAAAAGGTGCCACGTCCCAGCACCTCACAGAAACATCTGTGACCTGGGAGTGCCCGGGAGGGCTGGGGACCTGGAGGCAGGCCAGTGGCTTTGCTCTCCTCCTCCGGGCAGTCTCCACGATGTCCCTGTAGGACCCACTGTTACGCACGCTGGCACTCCCTGCGAGAAGGGCGTATTTTCTTCTGGAAGATGGGAACCACATGTGGTGGGCCTTGTTAGGCAAGGCTGGGATTAATTAGGTCCTACTGGGGGAGGTGGGGGTGGAAAGAGGAAGTGCTGGCCAGAGGGAGCCCTGCGCGGTGTGTGCTGAGGTCTGAGGAGCCTCAGAGGAAAACGTCTCCATGTGTCAGGGGTCCTCGTGGATCCCTGTGACAGGGAACTGGAAGAAGGCCAAGGATCCGCTTGCTTTAGAGGTCCCAGATGAACTTGGCCAGGGGAGGCCATGTGACCCAAGCAGGCCTCCTCCCACAGAACCAGCCATTCACCTTGCACCTAGAAGCCCCCGTGGACGGGCTAAGGACTCAAGAATGGACTGGCGGGAAAGCTCATTCTGTGCCCACCGCACCGCGTGCCTTGGACTCCCCATGGCATGGGTGCTGGCACCTGCTCTGTTCTTCCCAGCCTCAGATTAAAAGCACTTTCTTGTAGTCTCCACACCTAAGAAGCATCAGCTCCCCAGCCCATGGCTCAGGCAGCCTGCACGGCTGGGGGTGACTGTCAAGAACCGTTGCCAGTGGCTAAGAACTTGATCGTGGATTTCCTTTTGAAGCTTGAGAGGTTTTCCGGATGGAATCGGCAGTATTGTCTGGAGCTGTTTATACTTTACCTAAGGATGTCAGGAAACTAATGAAGTTTTGACCTTGTAAGTCAGACAGCTTAGTTAATTAGCAAGTAGCTGACGGCTGTCATAATATAGCGTCTTAACAAAACAGTGGCAGGAATTGTCCCCTAAAAGTCATTCCCATCCTCCTCCCTCCTTGGGGTAGGGCTGCATCTGAGCCAGGACACACACAAGGGTGTCCTTGGTTTTAAAGGTGCTTCTGAACTCCTTCTGGAACAGCAGTTCTAGAGTGTGTCCTGTTCACCCATCGTAGAATGTTTCTTCGGAAGCTCTTTTCTTTATCCTGGTATCGTTTCAGCTCAGGTTTTCTCAGGGGCCTCTGGGGGGGTTCTCCTCTCTCTCCCCACAGGTGGTTTCCTTTAGCAGGTAGCCATGAAGAACACACACACACACACACAAGCACACACACATCCTGCCCCTGTCTTCCGAAAAATGTAGAGAAGGTCTCTATCATGTGCAGTTTGTGAAAGGCCATCCAGACGAGCTGCTTCTTCCACATAAAAGGAGGGCTCCTGTCCCAGCCTGTACAATGGTTCCGCCTCCGAGGACCCTCACCTGGGAGAAACCTGGCGCTGAATTGAGCCTCAGAAGGCGAGCACAAGCCCGCATGAAGTACACACGGTCCATGGGGAAGGGTGCTTTGTAACCGAAGCAGCACTCAGGATCCGAAGTGGAGAATGGAACTTCCTTCAAAAGTTTGCAGCTTCAACTCCCAGGAGCGCCCTTACTCCAAGTCCTGGGTCATGCTGCATGCTCCGTGGGGCTGCTGTGTTGCCATCCAGAGACCCCAGAGCGGAGTGTCTTGGTTGTCTTCCAGATTGGGTGGTGGAAGCCTTTTGGGAAAACTGCCCCGTTTCCAGTCTGGACTCTGCTTTTCCTCAGCCCTCATGCGAGGGAAGCTGTGCCCTCTCGCGGTGTCTCCCTTCCACCCAGGGGTGTTAACCCACAGAAAATCCCCACCAAGACCCATCCTGATGTGGCCGCTGCCACCTCCTCTGCTAGGGCTCTCATGCCACTGGCTGCCGCCGTCTCCCATGCAGAAGTGAAACACTGAGTAAATCTGCACGTCCTTTCCTGCCTGCCTTCTGGACCCGGCCTCCAGCCTCCTGCCTGTCCATGATCCTGGCCTACTTCCGGTCTATATTTAGATGACATAATCTCATTGGAACTGCCTGGCACTTGGACAGTGAATGTCTTTCTGGGTCTAAATCTCCATTTCGACTGCTCTTGAGAACGTGTCTCACCCCCCCCCTTCTTCTCCCAGATGATTTGTTCTACCTTCCAGTTCATCGCAGTTGCTTGCACCATCCACGTTGGCCTCTCTCTCTGAAGCTGAGCTGGGATGGATTTCGGGTGCACTCCAGAGTCTTCGCTCATTTCTCTCCGGTCCCCTGCCGAGTGTCCCGTGCTGTCTGTTTTGAGCCTTGCTTCTCTTTCCTCTCAGAAGCTGCTTTCCCATGAGCTCAGTGTTTTGTCCTCCATTTCCTGGGCCATGCACCCCAGCTCCAGCTCTCAGGCGGGACGGGTTTCCTGAACGTGGAGCCATCTGAGCCTCCTTGTTGTGCTCCCCCAGAGAGCTGCTGCCTTAGTCAGTAATGGCGCTCCTGTTTCTAGTTCACCCTCAGCCTTGTCGTCAGTAAACTCATGCTGCAGAGGGGACCCTGTGCCCCAGACTGCTGCCTGCATATCCACTCCCTCCCCGTGAAGGAAGAACAGCCCTTCGTGTGGCTTCAAAGGAGAATGTGTCTTAGGAACCGCTCCGTCCCCAGGAGTTCTGACTTGTTTGCTGCTCTTTTTGCTTTTTCTGCCATCTCTCCGGCAAAACCCTCTTTCTTTCTTAACCACATACCGTTTCACTTCAGTGCTGCCCCAGATCTGTCTTCTTTCCTTCTCCCGATCAGGGCAACATGGCAGTCTTACCTCCCTCCAAGCCGTGATGCCTGTGATGCCTTTTTCAATGTAAATTTTTCACTGAAGAATAACATACTATCTAACCGTGCACAAATCATAGGTGTACTACCACTCAGTTCATTTTCACGAATTATCTACACCCAGCACTCAGATCAAGAAGTACAGCATTTCCAGCACCCAGAGGTCCCTTTCATGTCTCCTCCCAGTTAGGACCTCTCCTCCTCCCCAGAGTAGCTACTGTCCTGACTTCTAACACTATAGGTTTGTTTTACCTGGTTTTGAACTTGATATAAATTGAAATCCACAATTCATACTCTTATAAAGGCTGGCTTCTTTTGATCCGCTTTAGGCTTGTGAGGTTCATCCATGTTAGATGTGCAGTAGTTCACGTTTCTGGAGAGTATTCCACTGTGTGAAGATACCATGATTCATTGACCCATTCTGCTCCTGATGGGCACTTGGGTTATTTTCAGTCTGGCACTATTACGTGAACATATGGGTACGTTTCTCTTAGGTACATACCTAAGAATTGCTGGATTAGAGTCCATACATAGTATAGCTTTAGTAGATATTTCTGACACTGCTTCAGTGTCCACTCTCTCAGCCGCGTCTGAGAGATCCGGTGGCTCATGTCCTCACCAGCGCCTGGTATCGTCAGTCTTTGCTTTTAGAAGCCATTCTGGCAGGTGTGTGGTGGTACCACCTTGTGGTTTTAATTTGTGTTTCCCTGAAGACTAATGGAGAACTTCTTGTCACTTATTGGCCTCTTGGATATCCTCTTTTGTGATGAGCCTGTTCACATTATTTCCCCCATTGGGTTTTTGGTGCTTACTGATTTGTAAAAGTTCTTTATATATTTTGGATTCAAGTCTTTCTCAGATGTATACCCTACAGGTATCTTCCCCTACTCCGTGGCATGCCTTATCATTTTCTTAATAATGTCTCTTGATAAGTAGAAGTTTCTAATTTTTAATGTAGTTCAAGTGATCAGTTTTTCTTCACAGTTAGCATTTTTTATGTTTTGTGGTGCTTTTTCAGGGGATTAGGAGCTCACGAAAACTAACCATAAAGCTGCCTGTTTCTGGTTGATGTTAAGCATTCTCAGGGAGCTGGAATATTAATCCACCTCATACCCAAGGTATTATTTCTTAGCTCTAGCCAGGATCTTGGAGGCCACCTAGTCCAGCCTGCTTGCGCTTTGTCAAAGCAAAGACTCCTTGTCACCCTCCACCCTCCCCGCTCAGCTGAATCCTCAGCTTAACACATGACCCCGGCGTCCTCTCGTCCTCTGCCTCGGCTTCTGGTGCAGCCGGGCCAGCAGTGGTCCGCAGCCTAGAGTCGGGAACCGCGAATCTAGCCGTATGGGTCGGCACTCTGAGTGGCCGGAGGCAGGACCCCAGGTCACAGGTACCAAAATGAGTGAGGGGGCTTGACTAGCCTGTGTGACCAGACAGAGCGGGAGAGCAGCAAGATCCAGGAATTCGGCGTTTCCCTGCGGTGGAGACATGGCCGCCACGTCCCCGCAGGTTGTGCCTAGGGGAAGGAGCTCTCACTGGCTCACGCAGGGTCAGGCCCCCATCCCGTGGGGCAGCAGCAGCCCGACCAGAATCCACAGGGAGTGGGGAGCAACAGCTCTCCAGAGGACAGGGGCCACTCTGCCCACAACAAAGGGAAGGACTTGCCGACCAGCAGCAGCCCCAGGGGCCCGCCGCGCGCCTGCTTTCCTGAGTAGTTTTCTTACGTTGAAAGTGACGATGCAGATCATTATCTCCTCTGAATCCTCAGGAGGATTTAATGACGTAACAAAGTGTTCAGAAGACTGTCTGGCACCTGGTAACTGTGACAGTGATTGTGATGAGTGGCACCTGCCCTTTCTCTGTGCCGTCCAGAGCTCGGAAACCCAGGGCGTGGGTGGGTCGCTGGCCGCCGAGCCCAGCCTGGCACCCGTTTGCCCCCTTTCCAGCCCCTCGCCTGCGTCGGTGGTATAGTGGTGAGCATAGCTGCC